AGTTTTCTGCCCCCGAGCACAGTCCTAATGTGTCTTTCTAATTTTTGTTATGCTGCAACCCCCTAAACCCTGGTGGCAAAATAGAAAAAGAAATTCCCAAAGGGACTGAATTCACTGTGATCAGTTGGTAGGAATGAAGGACAACCATGCAGCTAAGAGTTAACTGGTAGCAATTCAATTCAAGTCACGGCACCAAATGTTACAGGCAGCCCAGAGACTCCAAAAAAGGTGTCATCACACAGTCCCCTGAGTCAGAGGGAGAGGACTGTCCCCACCTTGATTCTTGTCTTCTTGTATAAGAAGCATAGGCACTCCATCTTGCTACTGTAATCTCTATTCTGTAAAAAATCTGCTGTTTGAGATTTTAACCCTGCTATTTTGGCTTCTGTAAATATTTGCTTGCTTGAATAATAGGGAAAATAAGTTCAACTATTTGACCTTGCAAACTACTCTGTTGCCGCTTCTAGCTACTCCCATGCCAGGTATTTGTCAATTATCTGAAATGTACTGTGCTCAAGGTTACAAGCTGCCTGCAAAAATAACCTACTTAGAGCTCTTGGTGAAGTCTGCAAAAGGTCTGGAAAAAACCCTTATTTGGGGGACAAAGGGACTGGGAGAGGTATAAAGGGAAAACTTCCTCCATGCTGTTTTGCTCAGATTTGGGATATTTCTCCTTTGAGACTGCTAGCATAATAAAGACTCCTAATTACTACTTAATTTGGCTTATTAAGTCATCTTATGTCAGCTTGCTGATTTACAATATAACAAAATGAATGCAAATGAGAGACATTGATTGCGTTGTGATAAAGCCAATTTATTAAAAAAGTAAAGCATGGTTCAGCTGGTGTGGCTCAGTGGTTGAGCATCGACCCATTAATTAGGAGGTCACAGTTCATTTCCTGGTCAGGGCACATGTCCAGATTTCAGGCTCAATCCCCAATAGGGGCTGTGCAGGAGGCAGACGATCAATGATTCTCTCTCATCATTGATGTTTCTATCTCTCTCTCCTCCTTTCCTCCCTGAAACCAATGAAAAAAATATATTTTTAAAAAATAATAAATAAATAAATTCTTATTTGAAAAATTAAAGCATGCACATTTATTTAAAGAAGCAAGGCAAGCAATCAATACATTTGGCTTATGAAGTGCAGATAAGCTCTCAGCTAATTTTAAGCACCAGTTGGGTGGGGGTTTGAGACATTATATATCCTCCCGTCTATAGGTTACAAATTTTTTCTGCTGAATATTTTGGTACAGATTAATTCTCAAGGTCCCTTTTTACTTTGTTGTGGCCTTCCCATAATTTACGAGAAGCACCTGGCAATTTTATCTTGCCAAGCTTTGAGGTTGCTGGCTTTTTTAGGGGATAAAAATAAAAACAAAAAACATCCCCTTTTTCCTTTTTCCTTTCCCAAAGTGGCTGATTAGTGGTTGAAAAAAGTTTCCCTCTTCTCTCCCCATCTCCTCTATTCTCTAGGTGGAAAGTCATTTAACCATTAGCTCTCAAGCATGCTTAGTTTGGGGAGATAATGGCTTATTATTTATAAGGTGGCTGCAAATTGCCCATACTTGTGGGGAGCTGATATAGGGTTAAGCCTAGGACTGACCTGTTGGTAAAGTCACAAACAATTCCCAGCTTAGAGGGCACAGTCCTCTTAGCATAATTAGGCTTGACCTTATGAGGCTCTCTAGATCTTATCTGGGAAGCTAATGGGCTGAGGGAAGTGCAGGAAGTGCCAAAACAAGTGAAACTCACAAGAACTGTGTAACTATGGAAACCACTACCTTGTTTACCTCTCACTATAAAATAAAGGCTCAGCTTGCCTTGGGATCTTTCTCTGTGGCATCAGCCAGGCACAGGGAAGATCCACGGAGACTAAAGAGAGCTAGAGAGTTCTGAACACTGTCTCCGTGTAAAACATTCTTCGCCAACCCCGTCCACACCTTTGGGGAACCCCTGGACCACTGGGGCTGGACCCCAGCACATACTGTTTGGACTTGTTTTAACTTTCTTGGAATGTTCCTAGCTTTTCATTGCCCTACATTGGCCTCCAAGTTCTTCCTTTAAATAAAAAATAGCCATAGATAACATGTTTGTCTCCATCTACGGTGGGGGAGAGGGGGTGCAGGGAAGACCAAGGAGGAAAAAAAGTCCCCACTTGCCCATCCAGATCCATTTTCTGCTGTTAGAACAGTTAGGTAACTGGTAAGACTGCAGTGGAACATTCAAATGGGATAATTGGAGGGACATTTCATACAGGAGCTTCCTCCAAATTATGGGCAGGGTGTAGAGAAATCCCAAGTGATAGGATAATACTGTAGCAGATAATAAAAACCTTATACTACTCTGACGAACCATGAGACTGAATTAGAATGAAATTTACTAAAAAACTAGTAAAAGAACTCACATACTGATAGTTTCCTTATAAGCATATTGCAGTTGCAGTCAGTTCATGCCTGACCAAGGAACAACCCTGACCACAGGAATTTGGGCAAGTGACCAGCAAAATCGCTGCCAGAAATGTTGCCTGAATGTCCTTTTACCAGATACCAGCAGTAAAACTGCAGATGGAGCAAAGAAACTGAAAGGTGAACATGGCTGATCAGTATGTGGTGAGCAGGCAGGCTAAATAGCCATCTCAGACAGTGATTAAAAATATTAAATTTATTTAAGGGAACAGGATGGGGAATGAGATATCCAAGGGGAAGGGCTGCACAGCACCGTGCCAAGGGGACATTGGGTCAATGATGGCAGCACCCAGGAGCTGGAATTTCATCCTTAGATGCAATCACTGGCAGGAAGCTTTTGTCTTCAGTGGTTTTGGGGACTGAGGTGAGCTCGGAATGTGGATGGAATGTAAGTGTGCAATCAGATATCTTCAGGACAGTTTCAATTCCTGGTGTCCAGCAAGGTTTCCCTGGTCTTTTGTTCTGTGGTGGGAAGCTTACAAATAGCCGTTAAGGATTCTTGCAGTACAGTCCTAACATTTCCCTCCTCTTTCTATTTGTTAATAATTATTCTTAACTAGTGGCCCAGTGCACAGATTCCTGCACATTGAAAGGAAATTAATTAGAAGGTGGATGGTGAGGCGGGACTGGGTGAGAGATGGGCCAGACACACCCTGAAGCCAACCTCCCGTGGTTCCTCCCTGGCCAGCTGCACTTGGGGCGGTGCTGCAGCTTGAAGGGCATCTGGGAAGTGAGTGGGGTCCCTCTGGCAGGTGGGGTCTTTCGGCTTGGCCTGCAGGGATCAGGCTGAAACTGGTCCCAGAGTATGAGAGTTGCTGTCGCTGGGCAGCTCCTGAGTTGAGCATCTGTCCCCTGGTGGTCAGTACGCATCATACCTACCGGCTGGTCGCTTAGCCTTTTATATATATAGATTAGAGGCCCGGCGCACAAAATTTGTGCATGGGGGTGGAGGGGGTTCCCTCAGCCCAGCCTGCACCCTCTTCAATCCGGGACCTCTTGGGGAATGTCCGACTGCCAGTTTAGGCCCGATCCCAGACCGCTGGCTCCTAATCGCTCACCGGCCTGCCTGACTGGTCACCCCTAACTGCCCCCACTGCCAGCCTGATCGCCCCAACTGCCCCCCACCCTGGTTGCCCCACGCAGCCTGCTTGTTCAGTCTTTTGGTCATCCCTCACTAACCCCCCTGCCGGCCTGGTTGTAGGCAACCATCTTGGGAGGGCATGAGGGTCAATTTGCATATTACCTCTTTATTATATAGGATGGGGACAAATGTGTCTATCTCTGTCAGTTGTCCTAATAACAAAGCATTCCAGTGCTGTTGGCAGGGATATATAAATAGTTACCTCACATATTAGAAACTTACCAGCTGGCAGCTTAGTATGTCCATTACTATAAGGGAGGGTGAAATGATCAGAATAGTTTATATTATAACTAGAGGCCCAGTGCATGAAATTCCTGCATGGGTAGGGTCCCTATGCCTGGCCGGCAATCAGGAGGACCGATTGAGGCCTTCCAGATGCCAGCTGGGGCCTTCCTTCCCCAGCTGCCGGCTGCCAGCTGGGGCCTTCCTTCGTTCCGCACCACCCCCTGATGGTCAGCACACGTCGTAATGAGTGGTCAAACTCCCGGTCTACCAGTCGAACTCCCAAGGGGACACTTTGCACATTATCATTTTATATACTAGTATATAGATTATTAGATACTGAAAGAACAACTAGAACACCTGGTAAAAGTCAGACATTCACCACAGGAAGCTACTGCAGCAGCCAGAGAAAACATCCCTGCATCTTCTCCTGAACAGTGGGTCCTAACACATAAAGATCCTTAGATGTGACTTTAACCCCAAAATCAATAGAATAAGTATAAATATGTATATTAGTAGTAGATGTTCCAACTCCTACTAGGCAAGATGTAAAGGTCTGTTCTACATAGGTTCCTCCTGAAAGGCAAAAGTATACCCAAGGCTGAGGAAACCTGTTGAGTGATTAGGTAGGTAAAAGCTGACCTTGACACAGCCATGGTGTCATTTATCTCATTTTGCTGCTTTTCTGGGCCTGAAGCTGAAATACAACTGAGGCCTAGATGTTACCTTTAGGGAGGAAAGGGTCAGGGGGTTTAAACTGCCTGAACAGTGACATGAAAGATCCAGAGTCCAGGCCAAATGACAAGTGATATGCTAGGGTAGGAAAGGTTACCCTGGGGGTGAGGTTCTTGTTTTCCCAGTTTTGTTCTTTGCTAGGTGTAGGGCACGGCTATAGGGTTTTAAGCCTGGGACTGACCTGTTGGCAAAGCCACAAACAAGTCCCAGCTTAGAGGGCATAGTCCTCTTAGCATAATTAGGGTTTACCTTATGACGCTCCCTAGATCTTATCTGGGTAGCTAATGGGCTGTGGGAGGTGCAGCAAGTGCTGCCAAAACAAGTGAAACTCACAAGAACATTGTAACTATGGTGACCACTACCTTGTTTACCTCTGGCTATAAAATAAAGGCTCAGCTTGCCTCTGGATCTCTCTCTCTGTGGCCTCAGCCAGGCACAGGAAGATCCACCTAGACCCAGCTTATTCTCTTTGTCTGTCTTTTCTTCATCCATTCGCCGCCCTCACTCAGGCTTTCGAACCCTTGGCTGAGCTGGCTGGGCACAGCTAGGCATCTGGAGCTTTCTGTCCTGGTGAGTTTCAGTACCTGGCCCATCCTCATTGTTCTGGGGGGTTTCAGGGTTTACATCCCCCTCCCACCAAGGATTTTTGGCACTGATTTTTTTTTCAGAGAAGAAGGGGTGTCATATCTCTTCTATAACTGCTTTCTGCTGAAAAGGAATGATGTTTCCCTTCAGAGCTAAAAATCCTTGCTCTCTGTAAGAGGGACTATGAGACCTGGGCACAGGAAGAGGTTGTGATGGTGTCTAGGGGTGGTATTTCCTGAGTATAAGTGAAATGAGTTCATGTAGAATTAGGAAGTTAGAGTAAGGGATGGAAGAAGGAGGAATGGTGGAGCTAGCTGAAACATACAAAGAATGTATTTTGCAGGAAATAGGATGTTTTTCGTAGAAGTAAAAGAGAACAATGCTGCAGAAAGGAGAGGAACTAATCAGAGAGCAGCACAGATAGACATAGAGCAGGCCTTTAGCAGATATAAGGGGAAGAACAGAATGTTTCTACAATAACCCATTTGAATCTCCCTCCCAAGGAGGCACCCTGTGTTTGTTTGCAATAAATTCCTGCCTTGTTTGAACACCTGTGGTCTATGACTTCATTCTTTGATTCTGTGAGACAAGACCCCAGGGAAAATTTCTGCTCTCCAGTTCCTGTATCACAAGTAGGACTTATAACCCGGTGGAGACAAACTGTGGGACAAAAGCTAGAATGACAAGAATAGTAATAAATGGTATGGTGGAAGGAAAAAGTTCTGATTGCTAATTCCAAGTCAAAGAATGAGAGAAAAATGAAACATTAGTTTGGAGGGTTATAGCCAAATATTTAAGGAAAAAACATAAAAACCACTTCAGGATTTAGTTTAATTTAGCTCGTGTGAAAAATAAACTTTGAAGATCATGAACTGGAGTCTCACATTTACAACTGTATATATGGAGCCTATTGAAATATAATTTTCCCCCTAAAGTCACCCTCATTTTTATTAAAGAGCCAAACTAAGAGCAATTCATTTACTGTATTGTCTAGTTCCAATTTGGCCTGGTTATTTGCATGAACACAATAAGAATAACAATTGATTATGCAGGCTTTTAAAAACCTGATTTGCTGGAACCTCATGATTGATTGAGCTTTAATTAGCTTCTCAGAGCAAAGAACTGAGCCACCTAGTTGACATGAGGTTTTCCTGCAATTGCTATAGACTTGGGTGAATTTCTTAAATTCTTGAGGTCCCCAATGATGTCTTGAGGTTCTCTCCTTTCCATCTTCCAGGAAAGCAACCTTTGTTCCTTACCTGTAAAGACTGCCATGAACCATGTGATTAAGCAAAATACCAGGCTTTTTCTTGCAAGTGGCTTTTGATTGGCTTCAAACAGTTTTGAGAATGCTTTCTGGTGGTGCTCAGAGTCCAGGTACATCATTTTCAGACATGACATTCTAGTCAAAGTCTTGGTTAATAAAACCACAATTGGAAACTGGTCTCATTGAACACATGTAAAGAAATGTATTGCCATGACTCACTTATTAAGAACTGATAGATTAGGAGGGATCAAGGAAAGAGAAAAATATAAAAGCTTCCATTTTGTTTATGAAGGCATAATTTACCAAATTGTCCTAGGGAAATACAAATAAGCTTCTTTATATCTGGAATACAGAAAGATTTCCAACGAACTAATCTTTTGTCCTGATTACTTGCCAATATTTCATGTTTTTAGTCATTCTTCAGAGTTCTATAATTTTTCACTTATCGGGCCATCAAAATGAAAGGTGAACATGTCTGGTTAGCATGGTGGTGCATAGGCAAGCTAAATAGCCATCTCAGACATTGACTTAAAAAATTAAATTTATTTAAGGGACGGATATATCCAAAGGAAGGACTGCATAGCACCATGCCAAGGGGACATTGCGTAGATGATGGCAGCACCCAGGAGCGGGAATTTCATCCTTATATGCAGTGTTAATGTAAAAAACCATTGAAACCTGTAAAGAATTTTTGTGAGTTTATTTGAGCCAAACTGTCGACATATGCCGGGAAGCAGAACCTCAATGAATTGAGATGATGCTCCAGAGAATGGGGAGTTCATATCTTGTTTTTATAAATTACCATCAAAAGGAAAATACCTAAGTGGGTTAACATGAAATCCATTGGTGATAGATTAAGGAGGTGGAATAAAGCAAAGTGGGGAAACCTCTGGGATGGGATAAAAAGTGAAATGATGGACATATGCTTCTTTTACATAGATGGATACAGGACAGTTTAACATAATTAACGGAACAGTGAGGGAATGTCCTGGTGCCATTTGTTGTGCCCTGAGGGGTCCGGGTAAAAAGGGAAGTTACAAGTTACCCAGACATTTCACAGATCTGTTATCTTAGAGGCAAAAAGACAAATGGGCTCAGTAAAGATCTAAGTTGATCTTTGTCAAGGAAAATACTGGCCTAGGACATGACTACCCACTATAACCTGTTTTTAGTTAAAGTTTAATTTCAGACCATCCTTTGTGGTTACTCTAGGTCTCTGATTTTGCAAGACCACCATGCAGGCCCTCCCTGAGCTTGTCAGGTTAGCATGTGGCCCTTTAAAAAATATATATAATATTTTATTGATTTTTTTTTTTTTTTACAGAGAGTGTGATGGGCAGGCTTGCTTAGCACCATATTTGGGAATAGAAATAGATATGTAATCTCTGTATAGCATAGGAAATTTTTGTAACCAGAGTGTGTTTTTCTTTTAATTAACTTTGTACCCTATGTATCAGGAACTTGATGTTAATCTGTACTTCTTGGAGGCCCGGACACCCTCCAGCCAGGTGTGACACCACACTGGTTTCAATTGAGTTTGTCAAAGAATAGATTGTGGTTAACACCCTTAAATAGGCTCTGAGAGAAAGGCTCGGGGCTGTAGCAGGGTGGGGCTTCCTGAGCGGAGGCACCTATTGCAGTCACTGGCCAGTTCAATAAATCCTCGCTTGCCGCTTAAGACCTAATTGGAGTCGGTGGTCTTATTCTCACGAATGTTGGTCCACAACAAGAGGAAGGGAGAGGGATAGAGAGCTAGAAACATCGATGAGAGAGAAACATCTACCAGCTGCCTCCTGCACACTCCCCACTGGAGATGTGCCCGCAACCAAGGTACATGCCCTTGACCAGAATCGAACCTGGGACCTTTCAGTCCGCAGGCCGACGCTCTACCCACTGAGCAAACCGGTTAGGGTGGGCAGGAAACTTTTGTCTTCAGTGGGTTTGGGTGCTAAGGTGAGCTTGGAATGCAGATGGAATGTAGGTGTGTGATCAGGTATCTTCAGGACAGTTTCAATTCCTTATATGGACTGACTCTTGGTGTCCAGCAAGCTTTTCTTGGTCTTTTGTTCTCCTGTGGCAGGAAGCTTACACTAAGGATTGCATTTACCAGCAGTCCTAACAGAAACTACATGATGAAGGGTTCATGTTTCCCCCCTGAGAGCTTTGTTATTCTCTCTTACATGCAGCCATATACAGTACCCCTGAGTGCCCAGTTCATTTCTGTGTCTCCCTGTCCACCAAGCACAATCCTTTATTCTCCACACCAATACCATTAAACACTTATCCAATTGTACTGCATTTAATTGGTCACTTGTCATTCATAGGAAGTAAATGTGGGTGAGAAAACTGAGCTCTAGGGTGTTAGTGACACGCCCTGCCCCAAGGAGGACTTTGTTTTAGATCTTGCTAAACATATTTCCCAACTGAACCCAGTGTGATAGCTCTTTTGGAAACTTTGAACTAAGTGTTTTTTCTTTCCGGGAATAATAGGTCGCCTACAACAAGCCCTGGGAAAGAGGAACAAGCGAGATTTAGCCACTGGCAGAACAAAGTGAGTATACTTAATCTAATGTTTCTACGGGTAGCTCAGGCATGCTGATAAGGTTTTCCTGCCAAAGGAGACTTAGAATAACTGTGGGTGTGAGGATGAGTCCATGGCAGGGTTTATTGCACTAGCTTTTGAGGGTCTGCGCCAAAAAAAAGAGAAAGAAAAACAATTCAGTCTGGTTCCAGCCATGGGCAAACTACTGCCCGCGGGCCGGATCCGGCCCGTTTGAAATGAATAAAACTTAAAAAAAAAAAAAAAGACCATACCCTTTTATGTAATGATGTTTACTTTGAATTTATATTAATTCACACAAACACTCCATCCATGCTTTTGTTCCGGCCCTCCGGTCCAGTTTAAGAACCCATTGTGGCCCTCGAGTCAAAAAGTTTGCCCACCCCTGGGTTAGACACTTTGCTTTCAGCCTTGTCAGACGCTGATCAGGGACCCCAGCCATGCCAGACTTCTGACCTACACAGACATGAGCTAAAAAATGGAGTCTGTTTGAAGCTGCTAAATTTATAATTTCTAATACAAAGTGCTTTCCTTTAAGAAAAATCATGAAGACTTTGCAGCCAGAGATTGTTCAAAGTCTCTGATTCATAGGACCCTAAATTAGAAATAATGAAACCTCTATCTTTAGTTACCTTCTCTATAAAACAAGAGTAGTACTGTATTTATTATCTCCCCCACAGAGTTATTATAAAAATTAGAGACCATGTGTATAAAGATCTGTGAGAGCAGCTTAGAAACAAACTACAGTGAAGGTGACATGATACCAAGTTACTTACCAGATACTCAGGGGTAGCTGTTACAATTATAACTTATAAATACTGTCACTGTTGTTTAGGAACTTAAAACCTTATAGAGAGACATCCATGGGGGTAAAGTATTTTAATAAATATATGTATATTGGTTTATGGCACTGAGGAGAAAGGACAAGTAGTGTCTGAAGAATAGTAAAATAGATTAAAAATCCAACCTGATAAAATGCCTCAAAGAATGCACTCTCTCAGATGGGAGACTCAGGTCTGCATGGTAAGGCATTTTAGAATGTTCTACAGCTGAGAGCCCTACCAACATGGCCAGTCATCAGAGTTGCCAACTTCTTGAGTATTTCTGAGGATGTACCATCCTGTCTTCAAATGTATTTGTTATGCTACCCTTATGGAATTCTGTGAGTCATCACCTTTATCGAAGATTTATTTAGAAGTTGCTTTTCGATATGTTACTACAACTCACTCACTCTAACTTTTTCTCTAAATTTCCCGCATGAAACCTAAGAGTTCTAAATCCAAGTCAAATGTACCATGGGATAAGCAAAATAAATTTAACTTACTTTGTGTCTCTAAAAAAATAAAAGAAAGAAATTTTAAAAACGAAACTAAAATTCACAAGTGACCTAGAACATTGAGCAGCATGAACCCTCCAGTGAATATACTCAGCCCTGACAATGGGCTTCCTTGGAGGATAAGGATCTCCATTTAATGAATATTTATATGACTGCGAACTAGGGGAACTCGTGTCCACTCTCCCAGCCTCAGTTTCCTTTTTCAGTAATTGAGAGATTTAGACACACTGTTCTCCAGGGGACTCTCCAGCTCTGCAATGTTGAAGTACCGCTATGTGCACAAAATGCCCCACTAGGTATGATGAGAGATACAAAAGTGAGAAGGACACAGCCCTGCCCTCCGTAGTTCTTATCCACTTTGGGCCTCAGTTTTCTCACCTGGAAAACTGGCCAGAGAGGATTCAGGATGTATTTGTAAAGCAGTGGCTGTGTATGTGCCCTCTAACTGCTATCTAATATCTCTGAAACAATAAACTCATAGGAAGTTTCGATACTCAAATGAGTTAATGGAAGCAAAAGTCCTTTTTCAATGTAAACATTAGTGCATATGTGAGGGATGATTTTACTGCATTTATATTTTAACTAGAAGCCGGATGCACGAAATTAGTGCAAGAGCAGGCTTTCCTTCCCCCGGCTGCCAGCACCGGCTTCCCTCTGGTACCTGGGACCTGGGCATCCCTCTGGCCACTGGCAGGCACCCTGGACCTGAGCTTCCCTTGTAGCCCCGGCTTTGTCTGGAAGGTCACAGCAAGGGTTCAGGAATCTGGAGAAGGGCTGCGCATAAATGAATAGAGACTAGACAAGAAATATAAATTTGGAAGGCATTTTGGGGGAGCCAGATGGAGGCCGCACCCTCTAGTGAAGTGGGCTCCCTGAATGTCCGGACCCATGGCTTTTTATTCACACATTTTGCCCTTTAGCAAAGCAGATATACATATCAAAAGTACGGCTTGGCAAACAGGAAAGGATTATCAGGTTAGGGGAAATGCCCTCAGCTGTTGGGCAGCAGGAAATAATATGCAGATCTTCAGCCCTGCTGAAGTTGTCCATCAGCCTTCTGATGAACTTCTAGCATTTATTATGCTAACTACTGTACTTAGCCTCCAGCAGCAAGGATGTCTGGAAGGACATCCAGTCTAATGAGCATATTACACTTTTATTATTATAGATATCATGAATTTGATGACTTCAGCAGGCTCCACAGCCAATTCTGCGATTATGATGGCACCCCACCACGGGTATCCTGTGAACCCCGGAAGCATGTCTCAGGTGCCCCAATATCCACTCAACCAACCCCAAGTCCACCAAATTCCTGGGAACCAACCTGGTTTGGAGCCGCCTGTGTCAATGCAACCTGCCCAGAGATCCTTAAAAGAGGGCAAAGTTTTAGGGGTAAGTGAGTTTCACACTGTGTTCACTGGCCACATGGCTGGAGTCAGGGGTAGGAGGAGGTTTGGAAATACAGAAACTCCAAATCCAGCAAGTGGGGCTGGAGCTGACCCAGCCTTGCCAAATTCAGGTCCATTAAGAAGCTCAGCTCTACAGCATCACCAGGGTCTCTGTGTGGGACCTTGTACTATCTATCTTGGGTATTTTAGGAAAGAGAAAAGCAACAAAGAAACAGTAAATTGGAATGTTGGTCCTGTTGCCAGAATCCATCTTGACTCATGTGGCCTCTGGAAGAAAGTGAGTCCAGAGAGCTAGAACGTGGATTCTAAACCCAATGTACTTGAATGGAATCTTTCTCCAATGGGAACAAAATAAGAGCTCATAATGATTTTCCCCCGCAAAGGCTGTCCTGGGTGGGACAAGAGAAATCCCACTACATTACATGGGTAAATGAATACATGCATGCATTCTGATTCAGGCTGTCCAGGTTCAGATCCTAGCTTCACCCCATATTCTGCTCATATCAATGTCAATCAATACAACCTGTATGGAAGGCTTTCTGTATCTGCCAAATTTTAAAATACACAATAATTCCATTTCTGAGACTTGTTTTATTGATATGTCTGTACACATAAGAAATATGACAAGTGTGAGGTTATTTATTGCAGCATGGTTTGTGATAGTGAAACTGGCCCAAATGACCCTCAGGGTCTTTTGCCTGCTGCTGTGAAGCCAAATACATGACACCGTTGCTGATGGAAAGAAAGTGATTTATTTAGGTGCTGACTGCCTGAGAAGATGGCAGACTCATGCCTTAGCAACCATCTTAATGTCTCAGGGTAGGCAAAAGGCTTTTTTTAGGGGGATCATGGAAAAAGGGGCATTAAGGAATGCTGCTGACATTAGTTTTACATTTGAGCTCTCATGTGGGTTCGATGCTCTCTTTCATGTCTGTCAGCATCTGGTATTTTTACTCTCTGAGTTTTGTTTCTGGGGACAGGCTATTGCAGGCCTGGCCCGACATTGGCATCTATTACACAATTATGGTAGAGGCCAGTGAAAAGGGGAATTGGAACTGCTTTTGCCTGTGACATGCTTAAATATGAAATTATTAATATTTTAGGCTATAAGTTTTATTAGTATACTAGAGGCCTAGTGCACAAAAATTTGTGCACTCGGGGGGGAGGAGGGGGTCCCTCAGCCCGGCCTGTGCCCTCTAGAAGTCTGGGACCCCTCGGGGGATGACCACCTGCTGGCTTAGGCCCGCTCCCCAGGGGATTGGGTCTAAGATGACAATCAGACATCCCTCTGGCAGCCCGGCAGCCCTTGGGGGATGTCCACTTGCCAGAGGGGAGCAGGCCTAAACTGCAGTTGGACATCCTTAGTGCTGCTGAGGAGGCAGGAGAGGCTCCTACCACCACAGCTGTACTGGCAGCCATCAGCCTGGCGTGTGGTTGAGCAGAGCTCCTCCCATGTGAGAGCGCCCTGACCACCAGAGGGCAGCTCCTGCATTGAGCGTCTGCCCCCTGGTGGTCAGTGTGTGTCATAGTGACCAGTCATTCCCAGTCCTTCTGCTGTTAGGGTCAGTTTGCATATTACCCTTTTACTATATAGGATAGAGGCCTGGTTCACAGGTGGGTGCTGGCTGGTTTGCCCTGAAGGGTGTCCCGGATCAGGATGGGGGTCCTGCTTGGGTACCTGGCCAGCCTGGATGAGGGGATGATGGCTGTTTGCAGCTGCTCACACCCCCTTCAGGGTGGGGGTCCCCACTGGGGTGCCTGGCCAGTCTGGGTGAGGGGCTGAGGGCCATTTTCAGGCTGGTGGGTGACTGAAGCTCCCAACCTCTCCTTTTTTTCTTTCTTTTTTTTTATTTTAAATTCTGGGATTTATTTACCTTCTATGGCTGTCACTGGAACTGAGAGCCGGCTTTAGCTCTGAGGCTCAGCTCCAGCTCTGAGACCTCGGCTGCTGAAAGCAGGTATCTGGGTTTGTTTGGCTTCTATAATTGCAACATTGTTTCTTGGAGTGCAGCTCAGAGGCCAGCAGCGGCAGGCGGGGAACCTTGGCTTCCTCCATCACTGGAGCAAGCAAGCCTCCTGTTTGCTTCAGCTGCCTGGCTGCCGGCTGCCATCTTGGTTGGCAGTTAATTTACATATCGCCCCGATTAGCCAATGGGAAGTGTGTCGGAGGTACGGTTAATTACCATGTTTGTCTATTATTAGATAGGATTCTTTTAATCTTTGATTAGTCAATTAGACGTGAGGTTTTTTTTTAATATACTGTACCCTGTTATAATAGGAAAAGAATGGGGATAACCGAAATATTTATTAATATAACACTGGTTAAATCAATATGTTATATGTCTAAAGAATGAAATGTGATGGAGCTATAAAAAGGATGCTTTTTACCCTGCCAGTGTTGCTCAGTTGGTTGATCATCATGCCACGTACTCAGTGGTTGCCAGCTCTATTCCCAGTCAGGGTACATGCCTGGTGGCAGACTCTATCTCCAGTAGGAGGCAACTGATCAATGTTTCTTTCCCATCAGTAGTTCTCTCTCAATTTCTCCCTCTCCCTTCCTCTCTCTCAGAAATCAATGATAGCATATTTTAAATACAATATATATATATAATTTAATAAAAATAAACCTCCCTAGTTTTTTGAGTAATGATATGGACATACCTCCAAGCTATATCATTAATGAGAAAAAGAATTTGGGGCAGACATTTTGTATGATTTTCTAATATTTGTGCAAATTTAATGAAATAATATATTTGTATTTTCTGTTATGTTTGTACTATATACACATATTTATCATTTGGGCAAGAATCTATAATAGTTTCCTAGAGCTGCTATAACAAAGTACTAATAACCAGGGGTCTTAGAACACAAGAAATTTAATGTCTTAGTTCAGAAGTTTGTGATCATAGTATCCATGGGGCCATGCTCCTTCTGAAGGCTCTAGGGGTGGATCTGTTCCAGGCCAGTCTCCCAGCTTCCAGTAGGTCCTTGGCTGGCAGCATAACTCCCATCTTGGCATTCTCCTGGGTGCGCATGTTTTTCTTCATATGGCATTCCTTTGAAAAGATAACAGTCATAGGGGCCACCCTATTCCAGTATATCTCATATTATCTAATTGCATCGGCAGCAACCCTATTTCCAAATGAGATCCCATTCAAAGTCACTGGAGGTTTTAACTTCAATATATTAATATGAGCCCTGGTCAGAGTTGTTCAGTGGTTAGAGTGTAGGCATGTGCACCAAAGGGTTGCAGGTTTGTCTCACAGTAAAGGTCAGGTACCTGGGTTGCAGGTTCAGTACCCAGCCCTAGCCGGTCACGAGTGGCAGGCAGGCAATTGATGTGTCTCTCTCATATCAGTGTTTCTCTCTCCTACTCTTTATCTCTCTCTGTCTTCCATCATCCCTTCAGTTAATACTCTCTAAAAATCAATGAAAAAAAATCCTCAGATGAAGATTAACAAATAGAGATATATAAATTTGATGAGAGAAAGAAGACACAATTCAATCTAAAACAATATTCCAAAGAAATAAAAGATGAGTACAAAGACTTATCTACAAAGATGTTTATTGCAGTGTTGTTTATAATATGAAAACATACTATACCTGCCCAATATCTTTGTTCCAACTCTTCCACAGATCATCCACATAATGGAATGTGGGCAGCCCTTAAAAAACATATATTTAAAGAATACTTAATGCCATAGGGACATTTTAATAATGAAATATTAAGTTAAATATGCAGAGCCCTTTTGTATAATCAGTGTATATATTTAAAAAATAATGGAAAGTTATGCACCAAAATATAAGTGATTGTTTTCTTTGAGTGGGGGGGCAATTATGGGAAGTATTGTTTCATTAGTACATTTTAAACAAAATATTTATTAAAATAAAAAGGAGGCCCAAGAGTGCAGGGGTTAAGATCTGGCCTCAGAAACTAAGGCCTCTGCTTTTGGCTCCCCTGACAGGCCATCCAGATCCTGATCGGCCTGATACACATTGGCCTCGGCAGTGTCATAGGCATGGTTCTCTGGTACTACACCGCTGTCTCATTCTACGGAGGCTATCCCTTCTGGGGAGGCATCTTGGTAAGTAATGTAAGTGGCCCTGCAAGTGAGTTCCAGAAATTGCCAACACACTGGCAAGTTGAGTACTTTGCTGCATGCGTTTTTCAGCCAAGAGAGCACGTGGGCTGTGAACCCAGCTCAGGTCTTGTTCACCAAGAACTTTAGTTCATGTGGGCAGCCAGAACAAATACCACAGACTCGGTGGCTAAACAACAGACATTTATTATCTCATAGTTCTGGATGCTGGAAGTCCAAGATCAAGGTGTGGGCAGGGTTGTTTCTCCTGAGGCCTCTCTCTTTGGAGTGTAGATGGCCATCTTCTTCCCTGTGTCTTCACATGGTTTTCCCTCTGTGTGTGTCTGTGTTCATATCTCTTCTTATTAGAATACCACTCAAATTGTTTTAGGGCCTACACATATGACCTCATTTAACCTTAATCATCTTTCTTTATTTTTTAATGAAATTTTATTGGTGTGACATTAGTCAACATGAACATATAGTTCATGTGTGAATTTCTAAGTTATAAAATCTGTATATAGCCCCATATGCCCACCACCCAAAGGCAAATCTTCTCCTGTCACCTCATATTAGGACCCCCTATTCCTCCAACTCCCCTTCCTCTGGCAACCATGACACTGCTGTCTTTGTTCATAAGTTTCAATTTTATATTCCACATATGAGTGAAATAATATGGTTTTTAGCTTTTTCTGTCTGACTTATTTTACTTAGCATAATGTTCTCAAGGTCCATCCATGTTCTTGTAAATGACTCTATTTCATCCTTTCTTATGGCTGAGTACTAATCACCTTCTTAAAGGTCCTATCTTCAAATACAGATGCTCTTTAACTTACGATGGGGCTACATCCCCAAAAACCCATCATAAATTGAAAATATCTCGAGTCAAAATGCATTAAGTACTACACTGCAGAGAATGGGTCGTTTAGGCTCATGATTGTGTGGCTGACAGAGAGCTGAGGCTGGCTGCTTCTGTCCAGCATCACCAGAGAGTATCTTAGCACATAGCACTCATCCAGGAAAAGATCAAAATTCAAAATCCAAAGAGCAGTTTCTATTGAATGCATATCATTTCACACCACTGTAAAGTCAAAAAAATCATAAGGCAAAGTATAGTGAGTCTGGAAACGTCTATACAGTCACATTTGGAGGTCCTAGAGGTTTGGACTTCAAAAGATGGATTATGAGGAGACAAAATTCAGTTCATATATCAAGTGACAGTCCTGCAAGGTGCCATTGTTCCAAAGCAGGCAGCTTCCTAATTAGCCCACCTCAGAGGTTAGGAAACCTTTTCCTAGTTCATTAGCCAAGCGCTCAAACGCTATTGGACTCAGGCTCAGAGCTGGTGCTCCAGGAGAAAAACGTTTCCATCAAGGGTTAAGAGTGGCTGCCCAGCCACAGAACAGACAGTAAGCAGTGGGAACTCAACCTGGAGTCCTCTGATGGGCTCAGAGTCCACCTTGCTGCAAAATATTTGGTATATTAGATGTTGTTTTTTTATTTATTATTTATTTGTTTATTTATTTATTTTTCTGGAAAAGTCCACAGTTTTTATTACATTTTCAGGGTGATCTGGAACCTCTTTAAAGTTAAGAACCAAAAGTTCTTTCTCTTTCCAATGTATTGCCTTTATGATTGTTTTCCACTCTTCTTAGTGTCTTTCCTCTTCCATAGGCACGCAGTGCACACGCACGCACACACACACACATACACACACACACACACACACACACACCCCCAATGCAGTCTCTCTCCCACCAACCCTGTCTGTCTCTACCTGCCAAAACACAATTTTTCTCTCAAATCACATATCTGTGACCCAAGCCAACTTTTCTCCAAATAGCAAAACTCCAGAGTAACCTGGACATCAGCCAAGTCACCATACATCATGAGATTTAAATAAAAATAGCCCAGAGTCATCCACCACACACACACACACACACACACACACACACACACACACACACACACACAGCAGGGCTTAGGTTCTTGGGAGCATTTTTATTTGAGCACCTGCTCTCTCTTGTTCCCATTAAAGTCTCATTATCTGAGGCTGAGGTCTTCTTTCTGTTCAGCACAGACCCAGACTTGGAACTCAGCCAACCACAGACACCTGTGTGTATAACAGACTTCTGTGTAGTTTGGGGAAATGGAGAAGACTAACACCACAGCGACAAAACAGTTCCTGTTGAGTGTTAGATTCTCTTAAGGCATTTCAAAGGCCTTGGTGGCCATCTCCCCTTCCACCAGGCTGCTCAGGTCCCATCAGCCCTTATGACACCACTCTCCCTTATTCCTGCAGGGCACTTTTGCTCTGTGTTGCCTTCTTGACTACAGGACTATCTATTTCCTAAAGATCATATGGTCCTCCTCCAAACCAAAGACCCCTTTTTTAGGCACCTTAAGAGGACCAGCATGGACACCAGAAGTCCAGTCTTCTGTTTCCTTCCTTTCCTACAAAGTCTGTAGAAATAGAAAGACATAAAATTGAGACTCGTTTTCCCAATTATAGGAAAAATGGCATTCCTTTTAGAAGGCACAGGTGGCTAGAGTAAGTTTTCATTGTGAATATCCATTTCCATTCTAAGCTACATGCATCTACCCTGAGGTGGAATGAGTGCAGGATGAGGGTTACAAACATGAGATCTGGGGTCAAATACTTGAATTTGATTCCCAGATATACTATTTTCTGAATGGTCTTGGGTGAGTTATTCAAAATCTCTAAGCCTCAGTCCATCCCTCTATAAAATAGGAATAATAATGGTGCTTGATGGGGCATTATGCAGTTAAGTAACGCAAAGGTAAAAACAGTTCATGTAGGGCTGAGCAAGCTTCCATTAAATCATAGCTGATACCCTCTCAAATCCTCACTGACAGCAGAGAATCCCATCAGCCACTATTCCTGCAGAACATCAGCATTGAAATAAATACAAACATCCTTGCACCCTGTAGCCCTCATAGTTGATGTACTACATTGCAGAGATGCAACATTCTTTGGAGTAACTAAAAGATACATTGGGCTGATATCTCAAAGCAGTGAAAATGTGGGAACCCCTTCCTTCTTCCTTCCAGAGCTCCCGTGCCTGAGTGAATCATTTTAGGAGGCCAACAATATGTGCCTGTGGGAAAATAAAAGGCAAGAAAAGAAGTAATTGTATTGAGTACCTACTATGTACAGAATCTACCATGGGCAAGATACGCTAAATGCTAGAAGCAAGGGACAAATTATCTCATGATAATAACACTTAGGAAGACATACAGTTTTCCTCATTTTTTGAAGAGGAAATATACACTAAGAAAAATTCATTAACTTACACAAGATTACATGAGTTTCAAGTTAGAGTTTAAAAACTGGTATACTGGATTCTAAAATATATATTTATCCTTAGTCACTGCCTTGTGGTACAAAATCTCCTCCCTTCCTTCCTTCCTTCCTTCCTTCCTTCCTTCCTCCCTCCCTCCCTCCCTCCCTCCCTCCCTCCCTTCCTCCCTCCCTCCCTCCCTTCCTTCCTTCCTTCCTTCCTTCCTTCCCTCCTTCCTTCCTTCATTTATTTTCCCCAAGTTGAGTAGGAGATCCCAGCAGAGGATCCTGGCATGTGTGAGAGAATATATGTGTGACCAGAAGCATGGAGCCTGAAGGTGGGTCTCTGACCACTGACCTCTTTCTAAACTCCCTCTCTTCTGCATCAGTTCATCATTTCAGGATCCCTCTCAGTGGCATCAGAACAGCTACCAAGATCTTCTTGCCTGGTAAGTCCCACCCTGAGACAGGCTCTCTGAACCATGGACCCTTAGGAGAGCCACACAGCAGGGGAAAGAAGCTCACACACAATGTCTCCTTCATCCTTGCACCTGCTTATAACCAGACACAGGGCCCTGACATGCATGCTCACTCATACTCACTTACAAGACCACATGAACCTGGACAGAGTCACAAATGGGAAAGAGTCCAGAAGATTTGGTGGAAGGAAGGGCAGCTTCAGGGTGTGGAGAGACAGAGAGAATAACTTTCCTAAGAGGATCTTACAAGGGGAGGCAAAAAACAACCAGGGGTGCTAGGCTGCCCTCCAGCAGAGCAGGCACTGATTGCCTGCAGCACACAGAGCCCAGTGCCAGACATTTCTACAGGGAAACCAGGGGAGGCTCAGGCAGCAGCTTCCCAAAGGAATCCTTCCTAACAAGTTCTGTCAATTAACATGGGCAAAGTTTGCTGGCCCCAAGTATTGGACCAAGAGAGTACCTTTGTTTCTCTCACAAGCTGGTTATCTAGAGAAAGACCCCAGCATGGCCTGGTCCCACAACAGATGAAATCTATTTAAAAACTCCATAGGAAAGATCAATTCTGGGCATGTCATTCTGCACATGGACCAGAATCATGGAGCTTCAGAGCCGGTCACATACCAAAACACTTTGGTTGAGTCTTCTAGCCACGTCCTGTGGGATAAATGAGTCAAGTGATTCCTAAACATTATTCTTGGGGATACTTGTTCCACGAGATACTTTATGAAATGGTTAGATAACTTGGGAGGGATCTCTATTTAGTAGTCTCTTCTCCAGTGGATCCATATTCCTTCTTAAAGGCTTTGAGAAGTCCTGCACAAAAGACCTAACTTTGTGCAACCCAGGTGGTGTTGTTTTTTAATATATTTTATTGATTTTTTTTTACAGAGAGGGATAGAGAGTTAGGGATAGAGAGTTAGAAACATCAATGAGAGAGAAACATCAACCAGCTGCCTCCTGCACACCTGCTGCTGGGGATGTGCCCGCAACCAAGGTACATGCCCTTGACCGGAATCGAACCTGGGACCCTTCAGTCTGCAGGCCTACGCTCTATCCACTGAGCCAAACTGGTTAGGGCAACCCAGGTGTTTTCAAAGTTAATTTACCACCAAACCTATTTTGCACAAGATATCTCTTTACTTGCCTCACATCTAGGGTTCCAGGAATTCACATTATGAAGCATTTGCTGAATCTCTGCTCATCTCAGCTATAATTGTTTTCCTCTCTCATACTGACCCTGTGTATCTTCTTTAGCAAAAAGGTAGCATGGGCTTGAGTAAACGCCAGTGCAATCTTCTCTATGTTCGGAATCATGCTCTTCATCACAGATATGGGCTATACAACTCCATATGTGGGATCATGAGTGCCTTTGATTGCAGTACAGTGGTAAGTTTCCCTCTTGACCAACGCTCCTCTGGGTTCCAACGTAGCTATCTTTGGGCTTTTATAAGTCCCTGACCTATAGCTTTATTGCTGTTACCCTAAGCATGTGACATTTCTTAATCTTTTTTTTTTAAATAAATCTTTATTGTTCAGATTACATTTGTTCCTCTTCCCCCCCCCCCCCATAACTCCCCTCCTCCCAGTTCCCGCCCCACCCTCCGCCCTCACTCCCCACCCACTGTCCTCATCCATAGGTGCACAATTTTTGTCCAGTCTCTTCCCGCATCTTCCATTCACCTTTCCCCCCCAAGAATAGTCAGTCCATTCCCTTTCTATGTCCCTGATTCATTATAATCACCAGTTCATTCTGTACATCAGATTATTTATTCACTTGATTCTTAGATTCACTTGTTGATAGATGCATGTTTGTTGTTCACTATTTGTATCTTTACCTTTTTCTTCTTCCTCTTCTTAAAGGATACCTTTCAGCATTTCGTATAATACTGGTTTAGTGGTGATGAACTCCTTTAGCTTTTCCTTATCTGTGAAGCTCTTTATCTGACCTTCAATTCTGAATGATAGCTTTGCTGGATAAAGTAATCTTGGTTGTAGGTTCTTGGCATTCATCACTTTGAATATTTCTTGCCATTCCCTTCTGGCCTGCAAAGTTTCTGTTGAGAAATCAGCTGACAGTCGTATGGGTATTCCCTTGTAGGTAACTGAGTTTCTTTCTCTTGCTGCTTTTAAGATTCTCTCTTTGTCTTTTGCTCTTGGCATTTTAATTATGATGTGTCTTGGTGTGGTCCTCTTTGGATTCCTTTTGTTTGGGGTTCTCTGCGCTTCCTGGACCTGTAAGTCTATTTCTTTCACCAGGTGGGGGAAGTTTTCTGTCATTATTTCTTCAAATAGGTTTTCAATATCTTGCTCTCTTTCATCTTCTGGTACCCCTATAATTCTGATGTTGGTACGTTTGAAGTTGTCCCAGAGGCTCCTTACACTATCTTCGTATTTTTGGGTTCTTTTTTCATTTTGCTTTTCCGGTTGGGTGTTTCTCGCTTCTTTGCATTTCAAATCTTTGACTTGATTCTTGCCCTCCTCTGGTCTGCTGTTGGGAGTCTGTATAATAATCTTTATTTCAGTCAGTGTATGCTTACTTTCTAGCTGGTCCTTTATCACACCATCGAGGGTCTCGTTAGATTTCCTGTACATCTCATCAAGTTTATCGAGAGACTCTAGAAGCCTCTTGAGAGACCTCAAAAGTGTGGTTCTGAACTCAATATCCTCCCTTGATAGTTTTGTCCTGTTTCTTTGTCTCTGCATATTTTACGCTTTCTTGGTACACCCCCTAGTGGTCTTTGTACGCAGTCTTGTTGTAGTTAAGCCCTGATTGTTGTAGTTAATACTAGAGGGATTTGACCACCAGGCTGACTGGCTGTGAGAAACAGCTATGTGGAAAACTTCGGTCCTCTGGGGAGGTGCTAATCTAGCCTTTGCCTGAGGCGATCCAGCAAATGGCTCTGCGCAGGGCTTGGGCGGGGCGGGGCGGGATCAAAAGGGCGGGCGGAGGGAGCAGTTATGGCCGCTCTCAGTCCCGTTCCCAGAGGCTCTGCTTCTCAGAACCCCAGCCGCCGCTGCCAACCTCGGAGAGAAAGCTGCCCTCAGATTCCAACTTATGCCGGACAATCCCGCTTCTCCCGTCTGAGTCTGAGTCCCTAGAGACCCGCCCGGATCTGGAGCTCAGAGTCTGAGACTCACTCCCGACCGAAAACGACAACCGCGCCCTCAGCCACCAGCCCGCTTTGCGCGCGCACCTCGGTACCTTTATATTTTCCACACTGCGCCTCTTCTGAGCCTCGGTTTGCTGTTCTCTAGTTGAAGAGTCTCTCCTCAGCCAGCTTTCCTGTGGTTCTGGGTGATGTCTGTTCCGTCTTTTAGTTGTATTTTTGAAGTGGTTGTTTGCGGCAGCAAACTCCGATGTTTACCTATGCCACCATCTTGGTTCTCCTCCAGAATCACTTATTAAAACACAGACTGCTGAACCCTATTCCCAGGGTTTAGTAACTTGGAATTGGTCCCAAGAATGTGCATTTTGCCTGGCTGGTGTTCAGTGGTTGAGCATCAACCTATGTACATCACCTTTCTTAATCTTGTTTCCATCTTTATAAAACAGTACCTACCTTTTGCCATTGTTGGGAGAATTAAATGCAGTTATAGAGAAAATACATCAGTACCCACCAACCTGCTCATCTTCCTGCCCATTACTGTGGACAAAAGGTTCAGCAAAGATGTTCAGAAAAAAGGATGTAGTGTGAACATTTAAGGTTTTTCAGGCCATCTGATCTCTGTTGCAAGTACTCAACCCAATGTGAAAGCAGCCATAGAAATGCATAGGCGAATGAGCCATCCCATATATAGACCCATGCTGTCAAATAGAAATCTAATGTAAGCCATGTGAGTGATTTTACATTTTCTAGTCTCCAAATTAAAGAGAGAAAAAAATGTAAAATTAAATTCAATAATACATTTAGTTAACCCAAAAATACAAAACATAATTTTAATATTTAATCTGTAAAAAAATTATTCATTCAATATTTTGCATTTTGGGTGCCACATCTTAGAAATCTAGTGTGTATTTAGTGTGTATTTTGCATTTACAACACATCTAAAGTCCCCAGGGGACACTTTGCTAACAGATGGGAAAGCGCAGCTGTAGATGAGCTCCATGTAAACTCAATGTCTCTCTCTGCACAGCAGCCCTGTCCTCTCCTCCCATTAAAGTTATCACTCCATGTGCTTCTCCCCTCTCTCTGGCTCCCACCTCTCTTCTACATCCCTGTCTGATTTGCTACAGCTTTTCCATCAGCATTGAACACACTTTTGTTTCTTCATCTTTAAACCCAAACTAACCTTCTCTTGGTTACTTCAGGTACCACTCCATTTCTCTGACTGTCTCTGCAGAAAATTCCTTAAGAATTGTTTACTTTACAGGCTGCAGTCTCTCCTCTCATAATCTCTCTTTAACCCACA